GTAGAATTATTAGACAGCATGGGATTAATTTCCACTGTTATGCTGATGATACCCAGCTATATCTGTCTATAAATCCAGATGAAGCTAACCCATTACATAGATTACAGGCATGTCTTGAAGACATAAAAACCTGGATGACTCTTAACTTTCTGCTTCTGAATGCAGACAAAACAGAAGTTATAGTCTTTGGACCAGAGTCTCTGAAAAAGAAACTGATTAGCCAGTCACTTCATTTGGATGGGATTAAACTGATTTCAGATAATAAAGTAAAAAATCTTGGTGTTGTTTTTGATCAGGACCTGTCATTTAAATCCCACATCAAAGAGGTTTCTAGAATTTCCTTCTTTCATCTGAGGAACATTGCAAAAATTAGAAATATCCTGTCCAGGGGTGATGCTGAGAAACTAGTCCATGCATTTGTTACTTCAAGGCTGGACTATTGTAATTCTTTACTATCAGGAAGTCCACAAACTGTAGTTAAAAGCCTTCAGCTGATCCAAAATGCTGCAGCCAGAGTTCTAATGAAAATTAAAAAGAGAGATCATATCTCGCCTGTCCTGGCTTCTCTTCATTGGCTTCCTGTTAAATCAAGAATAGAATTTAAAATCCTCCTTCTCACATATAAAGCCTTAAATGGCCAAGCTCCATCTTATATCAGAGATCTGATTGTTCCTTATGTTCCTAACAGAGCACTTCGCTCTCAATCTGCAGGTTTACTAGTGGTTCCTAGAATTTCTAAAAGTAGAATGGGAGGCAGATCTTTTAGTTATCAGGCTCCTCTCCTGTGGAACCAACTACCAGTTTTAGTCCGTGAGGCAGACACCCTGTCTACTTTTAAGGCTAGGCTTAAAACTTTCCTTTTTGATAAAGCTTATAGTTAGAGTGGCTCAGGTTATCCTGAGCTATCTCTATAGTTATGCTGCTATAGGCTTAGACTTTTGGAGGACATAGGGACCCCCATTTCATCATTCTGCTTCATTCTCTCTCTGTTCTCCTATTCTGCAGAATCTGTTAGTTCAATCTCTAACCTTCTGCTCTCTCTGCTTTTCCTCAGAGTAGCTTTGCCTCGTCTGTTCCTGTTTGGCTGTGACGTCATCCTGGAAAGAAACATCAGCTGTGCTGCTTCTATCAACACCCTTGTTTATAGATGTTGGAGATCGGCCTGTTTTCCAGTGTGGTCCTGTTTCTCTGACCGTGACTGAGTGGATGTGCTTTCTTCGTCCTCTGGCATGGGAGCTGCCTTGGAGCTCGTCTGCCTGGCTGTGTGTTTCCTGGACGGGGCCGCCTTTTACAGCTGCTTTTTGTATCTCTGCTTCTGTCTCCTTGAACCCCAGTCGGCCTCGGCAGATGGCCGCTCACACTGAGCCTGGTTCTGCTGGAGGTTTCTTCCTGTTAAAAGGGAGTTTTTCCTCTCCACTGTCGCTACAAGCATGCTTAGTGTGGGGGATTGTATTTGAGTCAATGAGTCAATGCAATCAACTGGTTTTCCTTAGATAGAAAACTTTGTATCAATTTGATCTGGTTGAACTGTAAAGTGCCTTGAGATGACATGTGTTGTGAATTTGGCGCTATATAAATAAACTGAATTGAATTGAATTGAATTTACCAAGAAAGCCAGCCTGAGCAGAGGCTGCTGAATACAAACATGTTAGAGATAATAAACACAGACACCAGAGTCAGAACCTATTCTGATCCTCAACGGCAGATTATAGTTTTAGATATTATTGTAGAATTCTGCAGGGATGAGCTGAGATCGTAGAGATTCCTCACACTGACAAAACTTTTTGAAATTAAAAAAGAACCCCTTACTTTTTAATTACTAAAGTATATGAGGCTGATAAACAGATTTTTTAAACTTCAAAATATTCTTTTGAAAATATAAGCAGATAATTACCCCAAACAATGTAAATCACCCTCAGAGCTGCACCTAAGGAAGTGGGCTGTTCCAGACGGTGGACCACAGGGGCCACTGTCCCTGTAGAACTGCGCCCAGTCCATACCATCAACATCATTGATTGTCGCCTTTTGGTTTCTTTCATATTGATATATGATCACAATTCTGGTCTGGAACCACCACTGGCAATAGGCCTGAAATGGATAAATTTCACAAAATTTGAATTTAACATTCAGATCTGCTAGCAGTAAGTAACATCTTAAAATGGCATATCAGATTATTTTACAAAAACAATACTGTGGTCACATGATTTTTTTTTATTTTAAGTCTGAAAAAATCTAAAGAATAAATTTCAGTTAGGCTACGCAACAATTCATTGAGTACAAGAAAAGAACGATAACAGATACATCTTTATACATTGAAACCTGTTCAGTCAGCAGTTGGATCTCAAAAATTCCTCCTTGATCATTCAGTTGATAATCAAAATGATTTAGAACAACTTTATTTCAGCCGAAGAAGATACCTTAATTTTGCTTCATACTCGCCCACATTTGTGATATTCAAAGAGTTTCGGTGAATTTCAGTTTAATTCAGTTTATGTATATAGCTCTAATTCACAACACATGTCATCTTAAAGGAATAGTACACCCAAAACATGATTAGCCTTCATTGTCTACTCACCCCCATGCTGAACAACACTCTGGAGTACTTTTTTGATATCTCAAATGCATCTGGAGATCTGGGAGGCTTCTTGCTGTCTGCTGACATTCAAATAATGGAGGTCTGTGGCGCCCGAGGCAGAAAGGTCCATAAAAGTCCACAAAAAACGTGTCAATATTCCTCCATACTGCTCGTCCAATGTATTCCAAGTGTCCTGAGTGGGTAGCGTCCATAATTTACTCGAAACGAAGTCATTTAGAATGTTTTTAGAGCATAAACAGTAGTGTATAGGAGTGTTGTTCAGCATGGGGGTGAGTAGACAATGAAGGCTAATCATGTTTTGGGTGTACTATTCCTTTAAGGCACTTTACAGAGACAATTCAGCCAGATCATACAGTCAAATTGATTCAAAGTTTTCGGTCTAAGGAAAAGCTGCTGATTGCATCAACCTTTTGATTCGAAGACAATTTCTGACACTAAGCATGCTTGTAGCGACAGTGGAGAGGAAAACTCCCTTTTAACAGGAAGAAACCTCCAGCAGAACCAGGCTCAGTGTGAGCGGCCATCTGCTGAGGCCCACTGGGGTTCAAGGAGACAGAAGCAGAGATAGAAAAAACAACTCTAAACCAGCTCCACAGGCAGCCCCGTCCAGGAAACAGGCAAGGCAAGTTAATGACAGATAGTGGGTGTAATAAAAAGTAATATCCAATCATTTTAATGTATAATATTTTTCAGTAGATTACAAGAATTCTTTTTTCACTCTTTTAACTCTTCGCTTCAATCTGATATAGGACAGAAAAGAAGTACTTCTCGTTTCTATCATGGAGCTACCAGGATCTGGCAAAGCCTGAGCTCCGTCTGACCTATAGGTCTGTTGTGGAGAGTGGGATCTCTTCTGCCATCATCTGCTGGGATAACAGCATCAGAGCAAATGACCTATAAAAGCTAAACAAGCTGATAGAGAAGGCCGACTCTGTCTAGGAAATAATCGAGAATAATCACAGAAGAATCCTTCATGAATGAAGATTATTGGCAGCAGTGAGCATCCTCTTCAGAAGATTTTTAAACAACAACAAAGTGTCTTAAGTCAGAGGCTTCTGCAGATCCACTGCAAGACAGGCTGCTACAGGATATCCTTTCTGCCTACAGCATCAACACAAAAAATGTGTTACTGCAACATTTCAGCTCCTTTTGGGAATATTTCTGAAATTAATTCAATGTAACATTTTTTTTTTAGTAAGAGTCATTTATTATTATTGCACAACTACAATATGGAGGACCAGCTGTACAATATTTAAAAATAAATACAGAAATAAATACATGCTCAATAAATAAATAAGCATACAATTAATTGCCCCCCCAAAAAATACAACAAGCAAATAAATGTAGGTAGAAATTAATTAATACAGGGAGACATAAATGTATACATCTCTTTTAATTAGCTTCTGTCACGGTCTGAGTTCTGTTAAGCTTTCTTTGAATTTTTCAGTTTCACATTGATTCATGTTTTCCTTTGTTCTCTAGTTTTATCGGTTTAACTCCTATTTTGTTGTGTTTTCTAGATGTGTCTGAGTTCTTAGGTTTTTCTTTGTTGCCCTCTTGTGTTGGTCTCCTTTTACCTAGCTCCCTTCTAGAATCCTCTGTTCACACCTGCTCCCAATCAGCTCATTAGTCCTGTCTTTGTTCAGTCACCCATACATACCCCCCCTGTGCAGTTCCTCAGTGCTGGTTCCTCATCTTTCCCCGGCTCCTAGTGCATGTCCTCCCTGATGTCTCCATGGTTGTGGTTTGTCTTGCATTGTTAAGTTATATTTACCTGTGAACACTCCATTAAAACTAAAAGAACTCATCTGCCTCCCTGCCTCTGCATTTGGGTCCTCAAAACCTCACCCAAACCCTGACAGCTTCTTCATTTATTCGCCTTTGTAATAATTACCTTATTTATTTATTGTCCGTTTTAGTCTTCAACTTTATTTAGTAATTACTTGTTTTTTATTTATGTGCATGTTATATTATTTTTGTCTGTTTTATTCTTCCTTTGTATTGTTTTACCCTATTTATTTCATTTCTGTATGCATTTCTTTCTCATTATGCAAATGAGGAAGGGCTGTTTCTTAGAGGGTCATCTACTGCCCATTGGCTGGTGAGCATTTTACTGCATGCTTATTTATTTATTGAGCATTTATGTATTTATTTTTAAATATGGTATAGCTGATTCTCCATACTACAGAGGTTCCTTAATTGTTCTTTTGTCCTTATTCATTTAATTTAGTCATTAATTTCAATATTGGGCTCTTCCCCCCTTATATTTACAATTGTCTCAATGAGAGGATCCTGGAGGGAGGAGGGGTGGGGGGAGGGGGGCGTGTCCCCGCAGCTCCAGCAGCCTCCAGTTTCTCCGTCTGTCCCGCACATCAGAGCTTCCTGTCAGGACGCACGCACGGGGACCCGGCAGGCTGCGGGACCGAGTCAGGATGTGATTTTGGAGAAAAGCTGCAGTTTTCCTCAATGATTGGACCTTTAAGAAAGACTCATCGAAGGAAAATCCATAGAAAAAACAAAAAGTTTAGTTTCACTGAAAGGAGGAAAACTTTAGTTCGGAGATGGAGCCTGAGGAGGGGAAGATCTCTGTGTGGGTCTGCCGAGAAGAGAAGCTGGTCTCCGGACTGACTAAGCGCACCACCTGCGCTGATGTGGTGCGGGTTCTGCTGGACGACCAGAACCTGCAGCAGGGCGCAGCGGCCGCGATGCTGTCCGGATCCCCGCAGTCCTACTGCGTGGTGGAGAAGTGGAGAGGCTTCGAGAGGATGTTACCCAACAAGACCAAGATCCTGCGGCTGTGGAGCGCCTGGGGGGACGAGCAGGAGAACGTCCGCTTCGTCCTGGTGAAGAGCGAAGCTTCGCTGCCCAACAACGGACCCCGCAGCGCCGAGGCGAAGGTGGTCCAGAGCCGGGAGAGCGGCGCCCCGGCCGGGCTGCTCAGGGGCCCCGCCAGGAGCTGCTGGGTGGCCGCGGCCGCTGCGGCCAACATGTCCCAGGAGAGGCAGAGGAGGATCGTCCGGAAGGCCTTCAGGAAGCTGGACAAAATGAACAGAAAGAAGGAGCAGACGTTGCCTAAGGGGAAGAACTCAGTGGAGAAGATGGAGACGCTGGTCCACCTGGTGATCTCACAGGATCACACCATCCGGCAGCAGGTCCACAGAATCCAGGAGCTGGACCGAGAGATCGAGCGATACGAGGCCAAGGTGCACTTTGACCGCATCAAGAGACACGGAGCGAACTATGTGCAGGACACATACCTGACGGACTCCTCCTCGGAGACCTCCGCTCCTGCCGCGGACGGGAAGCGCAAAGCGGAGCGCCAGGACGCGCGCTGCGCCGCGGAGGCGCTGGCGCAGTTCGAGGAGTACGCGCGCCGCTGCGAGGAGGTGCTGCGGCTGCAGGAGGAGGTGACGGAGCGGGAGGCGCTGCTGGAGAGCATCACCGGGGAGATCCAGGAGGAGCTGAACCGGCGATGGATGAGGCGGCGACGGGAAAACGGCGCCGAGGCTGCGGCGCAGGACACCGACAGCACAGCGGAGGAGATGAGCCTCTGTGAGGCGCCAGCTGTGGAGCCAGATGTGGAGAGCCTGTCGGAGAACGAGCTCCTGCTGGAGGAGGAGAGAATAAAAACCCAACTAGACACCAGTCTGTACATAGGCTTGAGACTAAAGACGGACCTGGACGCGATCAGGGGGGATTTGGACCTGAGTCTGGCACTCTGGGAAACCAAAGAGAGCGAACTGCTGGACCTACTTGCCAAAGTTGAAAGCATGGAGCTGGAGCAGGCGGAGAGCCAGCTGACGGATGATGGGAAGGAAGAGCCGACTGCTGGCAGTGGGGAAACTGACCCGGGTTTAGGAGAACACAGCATAGGCTGGGTGGAGAAGGCCAGAGGTTTGTCCAAAGCCTGCAGCATCAACGATGAGGACTCGGACACAGGTCTGAGCTCCATGCACAGCCAGGACTCTGACAACCCTCCTGTCTGTGAATCACTGGTGTAGACCTGCTTTGTGTCTGAGCTTCTAAGGCTTTTATGCAACTTCATGCCACAAACTCAGGGGCAGAGAAAAAAAAATCAATGTTTGCTTCCTGAAATCCAAAATTGCACCTCTGTGACACAGCGATTCTGCAGCAATAATCTCTATATAGTCCCAGCAGACAAAGCAAGCTTAGGAAAGCATGTGTATTAGAGGCTGACCTCTGACCTCCAACAGGGGAGTCAAAGGAGCATCATTTATTAGAAGAAGCAGCCTGGACACGTGTAATAACAAAACACAGAGGTGCTGAGATAATCCTGGTCAGCTTGTGTTTGTTGGCTGGTTTAAGGAGCAAAAGCACCAGGATAAGTGTTCTGGTTGGATCTGTAATGGTGACGAATATCAGCTTCTAACCGAGGGTCAGAATCACTTCAACAGTCAGAATGTTGGAAAACAAACAACACAAATTCAAAAATCATTATGAAGAATCATCACATATTGTTTTTTATCCTGAAGGTTTAACTGTTTAGAAAAAAAACTTTCTTGTTAGATTAAATTTGAAAAATTAACTGCTGTTAACATTTCTGTTTAAGTAAAACTGACGGATGGTTTGAAGTCTTTTTTATTTCCTTTGACACAGATCAGCCCGTTTGAGATTCTGTTTGCATCTCATTTAAAACAAAAAAGCAAAGTTGATTCAGCTGCTGTCAGAATGAATCATTTCCATTGCATCCGTGATACTGCTTTGACTGTAAAGCATTTAGTTTAAAAAATAAAAATAAATTCTGCCTCCCTGTTATTATAGAGAAGAACTGAAAACATGAGAAAGTTATTTAATTATTCAGGAAATCTCCTTTCCGTGGCCTAAAACTGTTGTCAAATCAGTTTTACAGGATTTAACTTTCAGTTCTTTACTTGACTGCTTGTTTTTAAATCAATCGAACCGATCCCTGATGTGTTCAGACAACGATTCTGGTCCAATTCTGGGAGTCGATGTTTCTTTTCCTGCATTTATATGATCAAAATGACAACAAATGTTACACAATTCTCTATTTAAACCAAAATAAGCATGAATAAATCAGGCAAATGAACAAAAGCTTTTTCTTTTCTAACATTGAAAGAGCAAAGAGCCTTTTTTCATCCAGCTGACCGGTAACCTGCAGCAGCAGGTAGTTAAAGTGAGGATGACACTAATTTATGCTGCCAAAGCTGCAGTCTCTCTGTCACTTTCTATAAACCAGATTCAGTGTTTTCTAAAACATATGTTTTAAAATATTAATATTGTTTGATACCAGCTCATGACTGATCATAAATCTTTTTTTGTCTTGCCCCTCTTACTGTAAAAGTTGAAATATGTCATAACAGAATCTCAATGAACCCTGACAGCTTGATAAACGCAAAGAAGAAATGAATGATGCACTAATTTCTATAACATTTAATCATGTCTGCTTTTATTTAACCTTAATGATAAAGTTTTGCTGTTTTAATTTTGCCCCAAAGGTCAAATAAAAAATGGGTGATATGGATTTAACCTTCTATCACAATATTATATATAATATATATATATATATATATATATATATATATATATATATATATATATATATATATATATATATAATATATATATATATATATATATATATATATATATATATATATATATATATATATATATATATATATATATATTTAATTACGTTCTAAGGGATGATTAACAGTGTTAGAAAATTCAACACCATAACTTTAATTTAAAACCTATAAATTAAATACAAAGAGCATCACAGATGTAAATATTGCTGTAGAAATAAAACTTATTTCCTTATTTCCTGCAACAAATCCAACAATTTTCTCTACTCATTAAATGCATCCGAAGCTCAATTAAAGCATCAATCAGTTTGTACCTTAATAAACATCATTGGAGAACAGGAAGGTTAGAAATGATGATCTGATGCTGAAATGTGGAGGATCTTGTTACTTTTCCATAGGATTCTAACTTTTTAAATTTGTTCCTCCAACATGTTGGGGATTTTTTTTTTATTGGTCAGTATTAACAGGACAGAGCAAAAAGGAACCAGGACAGATAAAAGCCTGATTAGAGCATTTATCCATGATCGACAGAAAAAACTGGGAAAATGCAAAAGTTATAGAGAAGCAACAGTCTTAAAGGTACAGAGTCACATTATATGTCATAACATAAAAAAGACAAAAATCCAGCTGATTATGATAGAATACGGCTATTTATTCCGAGAGTCCTTCCTGATAGTATTTAGATCAGGAGTCTTCAAAGTTTTCCAGGCCAGGGACCCCAAAACTGATGGCGAGATGGAGTGGAAAACCCAAAATTATATATATTGTATGAAATTGTGTTCTATCAAACTGGTCCTATAGTCACTCTACTACAGATGGAGTCATATAACGAAAGTAATTTCACCCTGGGATTATAAAAGTATTTCTGATTCCTGGTTGATGGGACAGGTGTTGTGAATGAAACGGTGTCCAGCTTGAAAGAGCTCCTGTGTGTCGCTGAATGTGAGCATTGATGACTGAAAGACACGTTCTGCCTCCATTTATCTGTTTACTACAGCGTGTTGAATTCATGTTAATGTGGATTTAAAGACATTTCAATTATTGGAAAAAAAATTGCAGGGGGAATATATAAAAAAGTAATCAACCAACCCCCATGCAGTACCTCCGTGGACCCCCCGTTGAAGACCTCCGATTAAGATCGTCTTTTTTGAGCCTAAATGAAGCTCCAGCACCAGGTGCGATGAGTCGACATAAACAGACGTGGCGCCATCTAAAGGTAGCACAGCTAATCTAGCAGAAAGCCAGTTGGTGGCCATCGATGCAGCTACTGAATAAATCCCTCCCAGCTGATTGTGCTATAATAAAAACTAACAGATCAGATGATGGTTAACCTCTTAGAATCAAACATCTTGCACCTTTTCACACTTGATCTGGACTTTTGTTTTTCCACACCAATGCTGGGAGTTCCACACTCGCTCACCTCCATTGCTTCAGCATTTGACATAATCCTGATCCCACGTCGTTATGGTAAACATGCACAGAAAGGCTTTATTTACAGACAAAAGTTACTACAGCAGATGCCGTTATTTATCATTAAACCATTGTATGCAAGCAGGGAGAGTTATTGGCATATACATGTAAAACATGTCAAATAATGTGATGATGTACCTTTAACATAAATTACATCCATTCTTAATTACCGTTACTATCATCAATTATGACATTTAAAAATTTACCCTCATTGTTTTATTCGTCCGTCTCTAAGTTGGTTTCTTACAAGGCAAAAATTTATTTCAAAATTAATTCATAAAATTTTATGATTTCCACTTCATGGGTTAAGTTTAGTCCAGCCTTTTTGCTGTAAAAAGTTGCAATGAAAAACCTTCAATAAACAAATCTGGAGCCATTGAAGAGGGAATCCCACACTTAACCCCTAAAGCAGAGGATCCTACATCCCCATCAATTCTGTTAGATAAAACCTCCAATCAGAGCCTAACCTTTGAAATCTGACAGTCACAGCTTGTTGGATAAACATCAGACCCCTCCGATGACATCATCAGGCTGATCTAATGGAGAGAGAAAACGGATCTGTTTTGTTCCAGGACTGGTATTAGTTTTCCCAATAGGGAAGTTGAACACTGTGAGTGAAATAGGTGCATAGCTCCTTTTAATCAGTTTGGATTATTGTTGTAACGCCAGTTTGGCTGCGTTAAAAGACTTTGTTTTCATGTAAAGCTTCTTACTTAACCATAATCAATGTGGCCCAAGAAGCAAAGCCTGTTTTATATTAAGGCTTAGGTAAAACAATCATGGAAATCAGCAGGTCTCCACTCTATGTACCCACTGTGTCATAAACGTATTGCATCCGTTTTTGCATTAGTTTAGTGCAGATAAATGCGATTCATGCTGTTTTTTTTTTACAGAAGCAAGGTTCTATTGCAGTTTTTTGGGGCAGACCCATTTAGTAATCCTGCAGCCGCTGCAGGTCTGAACGCTGTGACATTAAGGCGAACTATTTCAAGCTTCGGTTCGCCTTTTTTTCCTTTACCCTGAAAATAGTTGCTGCAGAGCAGAATTCGCTGTGCTTTCTGGCCGAGCTGGCTCCTCTGAGACCTGCACAAACAACAAGCATCTTAGCAGAAGGGATTCATCACTTTAAGGTCTTCTTTTAGTAAAAAGTCATGAATAAAAAACTATTCTACTCTGTATGTCGGGATGTCGTGTTGTCAAGCTTACATGTCTGACTGTCCAACTGTAAATGTGAGCAATGTTAACTTTCTGACACCAAGGTAGAAAAAAAAGAATATGACCCTGTTCCTGTAGAGTTACCAAAATGACCTGTGTGTAGCTAATTTACGAGACTTTATCAGGGAGTCTTCACACTATTCTCTAGATATGTTCAGTATCTCTAAAGAAAAAAGCAAACACCTCCGATGTGGTGTTTGCTATTCAGCCGTTATAGAGTTGAAATAAACAGAAACATCTAGGTTTGTGTCTCGTTTTATTCGCCGCACCGATCCAAACACTTTGCACAACAATTCCACCCATTTCCAGGATGAACTTTCTAAAATTTTCACACAAATATTATTTCTAAAACTCAAATTTGCAAAAACGCAAAAGTGTAACTGGGTAACTGGAATCAGCATTGCATTTAGGAAGAAAGATACGAAGGAAGAGGAAGGACACGGTAAAGGATGTGGAAGGGCAAGGAGACGGGGGAAAGTAAAGGACACGAGGAAGGAAAGTAGAGGAAGACAAGAAAGATGAAGCAAATAAAGATCGATACAAGGAGAGGGAAAAGGACATGTATGTGAGGGAAGGAAAGAGGAAAAGAATGACACCAGGGAATATGCAAGGACAAAAATGAAGGCTTTATAAGCTTTAGTCAAAGGAGAGAAAAGTCTGAGAATAGAAATATTTTTATTTTTAGCTGTCTTTATATTTTGCCAGACCAATAGGTCTGTGGGTGAGGAAGCAGCTCGCTGCTCACTGATCATATTCTCATTGTGTGGTTTGCCTTTAAACCTTTTGAAGAGAAAGGATAATTTGCTTGCCTCATGGCTTCAGGGCTTGACGTGTACAGGTGCGTGTTTCTGCCGTGTTTGTGTAATACATGCTCTCTCTCTTGCGCTCTTGCCTGTCCTGCATTCCTGTGTTCGATCGCTGCTTCCTGGTCACTCTTCTGAGAACTCCTGAATTAATTATAGACAGTTGAAACGGAGACGTGAATATACAGAACCAGCCTGTACTGTTCAGGTTACAGTTTAGTAACCCATCCACTTCAAACGCTCCTCCAGGGTCTCTTCCTCCACTTTAAAGGTATCCGTTGATACTTACCTCTAGTTATCCAACTTAATGCTTTGGTCTTAGGTCAGACAGGTCCAAAGTTGGTCTTCTAGGGCTGCTGGCCTACAGGTTTTCAATGTTTGAGCTTCAGCACAGCGGATTCAGGTGATTGCAGTTAAATAGTAGCCTGTCAGTCAGGTATCAGTGAAAATCAGCTGTGCTGAAGAAGGGAAACCTCTAAAACCTGCAGGACAGCGGCCTTCAGGAACTGACTCTGGACATGCCTGGTCTTAGGTGTTCTACATCGAGAGGCAGAGATAAGAGAAACTTTGGGTCAATGGAGAAGGCAGACATGGGGCCCGCTGAAGTGAGAGGATAACGCAAAACAAAATCAGTTGTACAGATATGCATGACAGGGCTGCTCAGTGATGCAGCCGGCAGCACTGCTGCCTTGCAGCGAGAAGGTTCTGGGTTCCATTCCTAGCCCAGGGTCTTTCTGCATGAAGTTTGTTCTCCCTGAGCATGCATGGGTTCTCTCCAGGTACTCCAGCTTCCTCCCACAGTCCAAAAAACATGGCTGTTAGGTTAATTGTCTTCTCTAAATTCTCCTTAGGAGTGTGTGAATGGTTGTTTGTCTCTGTGCTGCCCTGCAATGGACTGGCGACCTGTCCAGGGTGGACCCTGTCTCTCACCCGTAGACAGCTGGAGATAGGCACCAGCACTGCTTGCAACCCTGCTAGGGATAAGTGTGACGGATGGACTCATGCATTACCCTATTTTCTTCTTTTTTCTCAGTCTTTGTAATTCTCCCCCTTTTCTGCATTTTATTCTTCTGACCCAATTTCTCATAATCTTTTTTTTGTTGTCCCCTTTTTCTCTTTTACTTCCTCTCGATGTTATCTTCTGTCCCTTTTTGTCTCTGTACTTTCTCCCTTTTTTTCTTATGTGTGAGTTTTCATCTCAGCAAATTTTGCAATAAGGAAATTCATTTTGACAAACTTAAGAACCAATAAGAAAGAACTGCCAATGCCTGTCGTTTCCATAACAAAAAAAAAACAAAACACAAAAAATGCCTAAATAAAGGA